TCTCTCTCTCTCTCTCTCTCTCTCTCTCTCTCTCTCTCTCTCTCTCTCTCTCTCTCTCTCTCTCTTGTGTTAGCTCCTAGTCTCATTGATTTGGCTACCTTAGGGCTGCGTTCCCCGCGCCCACGCGGTAGACAATAAGGGTATTTGGTACGACAGTGGTAACCTCCAGAGGTCACCGCAAATTTCCTCCCCCCGCGGCTTCGCAGGCCGCTGACAAATGGTCACCCCTTTTGAGAATTTGGGCAGATGTTCACCATGTGTGACTGTCCGGGAACCCATTTTTTGGGGGGAAATCGGGATTTGGTACCTAGTGTGAGTGTGCCCTCAGATGGGACAAGGCCCTGGCCGTCTGGAGCAATGGCGATTTGGTACTTCGCTGGTCACACAGCGCCATCCACAAATTATGCAAGAACTTTCGTCAACGAATTTTCACCAATTCTCGAAGAAAATGCTAAAAAATAAATAGGGCATTTGTTGTCAGCTCCAGAGGTGACTGCAACTTCCCTTGCCCCGTGGCTACACAGGCCGCGGACAAATGGGCACACGGAGGGTACATTTAGGACTTCGGCAAATCTGTGTGACCGGTCCCGTACCTTTTTTGGGGGGAATTTGGGATTATAGGTCCCAGTGTGAGCATGCCCTCTGTAATCAAGAAAACGGGTGCAGAGAGTTTTTGGTCGTCCTAAGAGGCTCGCCACACAGGCTGTCAAAGCTCTTTGAGTTTCGACAGCTGTCAGAAAAAAATCGAAAGTCGCCCGTTCACGCGGGAGGAAACGCAGGTGGGGCACTTTCAAATTTCCGTCTCCTGCCGGCGGGAGGAAACGAATGGGGGAGGGTGGCTGTCAAGCGTACCATTCTGACACATGTCGACATGTTTTTGAGCTGCAATTCTTCGAAAGTCCGGGCATACTCACACTGCAATCCCAAATCCGCAAAAAATGCGGATTTGGGAAGGGCCGATGTGAGGTTTTGGGCATGATTCAGGTGGCAATGCTGTACCGTTTCAGATGGGACAAGGCCCTGGACGTCTGGAGCAATGGCGATTTGGTACTTTGCTGGTCACACTGCACCATCCAGAAGTTGTGCAAGAACTTTCGTGAACGAATTTTCATCAATTCTAAAAGAAATGCAAAAAAAAAACTAGGGCATTTGCGGTCTCCTCCAGAGGTGACGGCATATTCCCTTGCCCGTGGGTGATGGCATATCTTGCCCGCGTCTACACAGACAGCTGACAACCAGCGGCTACACAGGCAGCTGACAAATAGGGCACACGAATGGTACATTTAGGACTCTGGCAAATCTGTGTGACCGGTCCTCTACCTTTTTTTGGGGGGGGGATTTGTGATGATGATAGGTCCCAGTGTGAGTATGCCCTCTGTGTGGCTCTGCTAAATTGTCGAAAACCTGGTTTTCCACAGCCTGTGTGGCGAGCCTCGAAGGGGTTAGGTCTCTTCCCTTTTTTTTTTTCTTTTTCTTTGCGTTAGGTCTCTTCCTTTATGAAGGTGTTTATTATAGCAACATCTTGTAGCAAACCTACAATCCTTTTTAGCAGTGCATCAGAGTTTTGGCCCCTCCGGTCGGTACTTAGGGCCTAGTTGCACTACTCACCATCCACCAATATTTGGAATGTATCTGGACTCTTTTATGTCCAGATGCATGCAAAATGTTGGTTGGCGGATGGCGAGTACTGCAACCAGGCCCTTATTAGTACTGCATAGAGTTCCAGTTGCCGCGGGTGATAGGGTCCCCGCGCACCGCTCACCAAATGTGTTCAAAAAAAGCATAACCCGCAAAAAAAAAAAGAAAAAAAAGCATAACCCGCCAGAACGTAGCAACAGGGCCTCGCTCCACTGCTCTCGAAATGTGCAAAAGACAAAAACAAAAATCATGGCGGTGTATGTTTCCATGTTCCAGCGGAAGATTCACCCGCGATCGTTTCTCTGGTATTCACATTTGGTTAGCGAGGCGCGATTCACCCGCGATCGTTTCTCTGGAGTTCACATTTGGTTAGCGAGGCGCGTCACGACCCTTACCGAACTCTACTCGTGTCCTGACAGTGGGTCTCGCTCCACCACTCTCGAAATGCGCAAAACGAGATTGAATCGGCCACTAGAACGAGGAAAGATACATCGCCATGATTTTTGTCTTTTGCGCATTTCCGGAGTAGTGGATGGAGGCCCAGTGTGTCTACTCAATTCCGCGCCAAACCCTAAATTTGAAAAAGACGAAGCTATGGCGATGTACCTTTCCGTGTTTTAGCGGAAGATTCATTGTTCGCTTTGCACATTCGTAGACTACCGTCTTCCTCCGAACACAACGCACCCTCATTCTGACCGTATCTGGTCAGAAATATCGTTTGTATACATTCATTTTCAGGGCGTGCTATGTTCGGGGGAAGACGGTAGTGCGGGGAGGGCTTCGACCACTTTTGGTGAAATGTGTAAAAAAAACTTAGGGACTGACAGTTGGGGAGGGACACTGGACCCGGTTTCCAGGAGCCTATCTGGGTAAGGGCCCCAGTTCTGTTTGGTCTGTCACCGGGTTGATTTGTAGGGGCGTATTCCCGGGCCCCTGTCTCTCATTTGCAATGAAAAGTTTTTTTTCTCCAAAAAAAAAATAAATAAATAAAAATCCCGGGCCCCTGTCTCACATTTGCAATGAAAAGTTTTTTTTTNAAAAGTTTTTTTTTCTTCCCAAAAAAAAAAAAAAAAAAAAAAAAAAAAAAAAAACCTTAGGGTGTCGCTCCACTGCTCTTGACATGCACAAAAGACAAAAATCGTGGCGGTGTATCTTCCCATGGTTTAGGGAGAGATTCAATCTATTTCGAAAGTAGTGGAGCGAGGCGAGGCCCTCACCGTAAACGTATCCGGGGCAAGGTCCCATTTGTGCAAATTAGGAGATTTCGGCCGTCGATCTTCGCTATCTACGGTCAGTATCTCTTAGAGACAGATCCCACTAGCCCCTATTCATGTCTGACCGTTGATCTTCGTAATCGAGGGTGAAAAATGAATAATCCAGGGTAGTGGGATCTGACCCTTAATTCGTGCAAGTGGGACCTACTGTAGCCCCTGGTGAGGCCGGGAAGGGTTAGGGTACCCTCCTCAGAGCGAACATACTACACCCGGACTTTTCGACTGATCTATCGGCCCAATCGGGCCCAGATACATGCAATCCCCCCGAGCTGAATTTCCGGTCGTATGCATCCGAGAAAAACTCCCAGCGTCCCGTCCAGTTGTTGAGCGGAGGCGCGGAACTGAAGAGGAGGCGCCGAAGTGCGGACGCGCATGCGACTCTCAGCTTCCGCGAGGGCGCGCGGCTCGCTAGTTCCGCGAGCACGCGGGTTTAAGTTAAGAGGACTGGACTCGTCGTCCAGTTTGATGCAGCGCGACCCGCTTGCGTGTAACGGACAGGCGCGTGGACCGTGTCTAACGGAACGACATTCCCGCTGCTATCGCCTCAACTGCCGCGGGAGGGAGGGGAGATTCATCACACTGCACGATACAGGTGCCGACCATTCCCTGGTGTTCATGGCCGTTGGATTGGTCGTGCTTCCATTGATTATTGGCGGAGATCTATCTCAGGGGAGTCATCTTGTGAGGCTATTGGCGGGCGTGTCGCGCTGGTCGGATAGAACGCTCGGTTGATGAGGTTGAGTGGGTGATGGGTTGATGAGTTGATGGACGGAATTAGAGAGTGATCGCACCGGTGGAGGCGAAGAAGGAAGGCCTTGGGAGATTGGGAGAGAGAGGTGATAGAGTCAGGGGAGGGGGAAAGCAAAGGGAAGGTGGTGGGGGTAGAAGACGGGTGGCAAAAGAGAGGTGAGTGGGTGGCTGTCGTTCGTGCTTGCGCCGTATACGGTGAGGTAGCAGAGAAGAAGAGGGGGGAGCGGAGAATGGTGGTGCTCTTCCTGAGCAAAACACCAATCACTGCGACCAAACGTAGGCGAGAGAGTTCCTTTCCTCGTTCAGGAGGGGAGGGCGAAGGGAGAAGGAGGTGGTGTTGTGTCTGACTAAGAAAGCCAACCAGACAGGAAGGAGACGGTGAGGGAGAGGATTGGGAGTAGGTGGGCGGGTGGGAGTAGGTGTAGCGTGTATGCGCTCGCGTTGGGACCGTATCGCGAATCTGACTACGAGATGATGGCGGATGCATTGAGGCTGGAGGTTATCGGACGAGAGGGAGGAGGAGGGGTAAGCGGTGGTGCTTGCGGCTCTGGCATGGGCGGCGGCGATGACGACTCCCTGGACATGGGGCCTCCGACTACCTCCAGTGGCGCTTGCGCTGGCATGTCTGATTCCAGTCTCACCCAGTACTTAGCGTCTTCGAAGATGAAGATCGATGAACTGTTTATTCAGTGGCTCTCTCTTCCTGAGTCTCAGAAGCTAGTTCTGTCGCTGCTTGAAGATGCGCAGGCGGGATTGCCGCTGGTGGGGCCATCGGGAAGCACTTCGTCGGGGGGATCGTCGGTGGGCGGAAGCGGACATGGGGGAGCTGGGGTCGGGGCGTGCTCGCCTCTCTCCCCCTCCAGTTCCCAGAGTCTGTTCGCGGCAACGACTCCGCCGTTGTCCCCCCGCGGCAGCGGCGGAAGCCCCTTGTCTCCGAAATCCCCCGCTCGGCGGATGGGTATGCCATTTGTAGGCCCTTCGATCTCGCCGATGAAGAAGGCTGCGGACACGCGGCACTTCATCCCGCAGTTCTATTGGCCCGAGGGACCTCCGGCGGCCAAGGAAGCCAAATCCCAGTGCGTCTCCAAGGCCAATCAACTCTTTGCCGCCGGGAATAACCCCAATGGATTGGGTATGTCGGCCTTCGGCCCTGTGACGAGAGACGTCTGTCGTGTTCCCTCGTTCTTTAACGGCTGCTTGTTCAGAAAGGTGGACTCTGACAACACTGGATTGGTCTCGAAAGACAAGTTCATCCAATTCTGGTGTGAAGGCACTCCTAATTTGATGATGGCGGATCTGCCGACACGTGTCTTCCACGTGTTGAAGCAGGCCGATCGAAACTTCCTGGTGCAAGATGATTTCCGTCCGCTGCTCAGGGAGTTGCTGGCGACCCATCCCGGCCTCGAGTTCTTGCACGAGACCCCGGAGTTCCAGGAGAGGTACGCGGAGACCGTAATCTACCGAATTTTTTATCACGTCAACAGATCAGGCAATGGCAGAATCACGCTGAGAGAGCTCAAAAGAAGCAATTTGATTTCGGCGATGAAGCATGTGGACGACGAGGAAGATATCAACAAAGTCTTGAGATACTTTTCGTACGAACACTTTTATGTCATTTATTGCAAGTTCTGGGAACTCGACTCCGACCACGATTTCTTATTAGGGAAGGATGATCTGATTCGTTACGGCCAGCACGCGTTGACGTATCGGATAGTAGAACGAATCTTTAGTCAAGTGGCGCGGAAGTTTACAAGTGGGGTGGAGGGGAAGATGAACTATGAAGATTTCGTATGGTTTATATTGTCAGAAGAGGACAAAACGACGGAGAGAAGTCTGGAGTACTGGTTTAAGTGCATCGATTTGGATTGTGATGGGAAGATAACGGCGAAAGAAATGCATTATTTCTATCGAGAGCAGCTAGATAGGATGGAATGCATGACACAAGAGCCGGTTCTTTTCGAGGACGTGGTGTGTCAGATGTCGGACATGATAAAGCCGGAGAAAGATGGGGAGATAACGTTAAGAGACTTGAAGAGGTGCAAGCTTTCTGGGAGTTTTTTTAATATTTTGTTTAATTTGAATAAATTCGTCGCGTTCGAGACGAGAGATCCGTTCTTGATTCGCCAGGAGAGAGAGGACCCCACTCTCACAGAGTGGGATAGATTTGCGCGCGCGGAATACGTTCGCTTGTCGATGGAAGATGAGGGTGAAGATGGGTCCAATGGAAATGGGGAAGACTGGGATGAAAACCTCGAGGCACCATTTTAATTAATTAATGATCGTTTCCTATTTGCTCTGCTTGTCTTTCCTTCCATTTCTCGCTCCTCTCCTTAGTTTGTTAGTGTTTGTAGATGCAATAATGGCGGGAAAACGAACTTTGGCGGGAATAATGGCGGGAGAATAAAGTTTGGCGGGAATAATGGCGGGAAAACGAAGCTTGGCGGGAATAATGGCGGGAAATCGAAGTTTGGCGGGAATAATGGCGGGAAAACGAAGTTTGGCGGGAACCTAAGGTCGGGAAAACGAAGTTTGGCGGGAACCTAAGGTCGGGAAAACGAAGTTTGGCGGGAACCTAAGGTCGGGCATGGATGATTGTGATGCTGATGACGATCGTTCGATCCATCATCATCCCACGTCATCTCTTCATTTTTTTGATTTGGAGAAGCGCATCTCTCTCCTACTCACGCCCTCGTTCGCGCTGAGAGAGAACCCGT